ATATATGTATAATTTATTATAGTTTAGATAGTCAATTTGAGTAATTCATGCAATGTATGACAAATTTAAGTAGACCTATTCTCGCAGCAGAAGACAATGAGTATTTTATTATGTTCAAACGTACAAAGTTTTCAAAGGAATCTTCTATTGTGTGCGATTTATTTTTATAGTTTTTAATTAAAAGGATTTTTTCAAAAAGCCAAAATGATTTTGAAGATTTCGGAAGAGATTTTCAAGGCTTTAAAAGTCAGAAATAATGTTGCCCTCAGTCTGTTAATGTTTCCGGCTTAAAGCTCTTAAAAATATTCTAATTAAAGTTTCAATTTTAGGAGAAATTAATTAATTAAGCAGAGTCGTTCATTATGCCCAATGTATCATTCTGCTACGAATGATTTTCTATTATGAGGTGAAGTTCAGATCTACAAAAAAATGTCTAACGTACAAGATTACACATCAATCATTAAACCTATTAAAATGTACTATTAAAAATTTGGAAGATTTACAACAAATTTATCAAAATCTATTCATTAAAGAAGAAGTAAAAAAGAATTTTTTAATTTATATTTTTTTTTCTTTATTTAATACGCATAATCTTCTTATACGTAATGATTAATTATTTCTTTCTCTTAATGTTTTTGTTACTGATTTTTATTTATTTTATATGAATTAGTTAATCGAGTAAGATCATCTTTACCTTATTGAAAGATACAATTATTTAACAATCTTGATTAAAAATGTCTTTCTTCAATGTCATGTCATCCTTACATGATTTTATCCAGTAATTGAAATAAAAGCTTATCTTACCGAGAATCGAATCGATTAATAGAATTTTTTAATTAGATAGTATTACTAAAGAATTTCGTAAAGAATAAGATTTTTTAATGCATTCTGGTTTAAGAATAAAAAAATCTATCCAAAACAGCTGAATAAGAGATTAAATTTATTTTTTTTTTAAATAAAAGTTAATATCTATCAATCAATTTATGCATAACATTTTCTTTTTGTTAAAATACAAAAAATCTAATCGAAGAAAAAGAATCAATTAATAAAATAATAAATAATTGTAATAAAAAACATGAATGAAACTTAATACAGCTCTATAAGGTTATAGAGTTGGATAACTCAATTATTTCTTTAAAAAACAAAAATATTCATATATTTGGATTACTTGTCGAAAAGTTCTCGTATGTACTTAAAATGATTTTTTTATGTCAAAGGTTTTATTTACATGTCAAAATCCTGATGCAACAAAAAAATAATTAAATCTATATTTAATACATAAAAATTCCTTATTATCTATTATCACATACATTTTATTGGATATAATTAAAAAGTTTTTATCATAATATTTGCTTTAGATGTTACGCATATTTTGAAAAAAAAAAGAAAATAGATATTTGCAAGATTTTATAGGTAAGATTTGAAAAAATATTTTTTTTAGATCTCTTACTCGAATAATTATTTTATAACTTAATCATTTATCAAAAAAAAATCTTTAACGTTAAAAAAAGGTATATTCCAACATTTCTTTTTAGTTATCACATTTGTCTTAGATACAACGAACAAGATTTATTTATTGTTTAAAATAAAAATTTTCATAGAGAAAGATTTCAAATTAATTGAATATGAATATTTATTTCTTGTATCATTAAAAAATTCCTAATACAAATTTTTTTTTTTTATAAAATACTTAATTTAAAAATCGGTTTTTGGTCGGCTATCTAAATATGCTTTTAATTTTTCATTACTATGAATCGCATCAATTAATTGTTTAAATTGATCACCAAGTTTTCCTTTAACTTGTGGTATAGCTTTTAATAAAGCTTTAATAGATTGAAATACAAATAAATCAGCCCATGATAATTTATTTCCAACAAAATAAGATTCATTTTGACTATAAGCTTTTTTTAATTTACCTAAATTTTCCACATGTTTAACAAGAGTTTCATTTAAAAATTTTTCTAATTCTTCAGCTTTTCTTATTTCATCCTGTTCGAAGAAAACTTTACCATAAAATGTTTCATTTATATCACGTTGTGTGTCTACAACAGCATCAATTTTAGCTGCTTCAAGATTATTTATACCAGCTAAACCTGTCTCACGAGCTACATAACGAGCAATTGCCATTGATTGTGGTATTTGTGTACCATCAGTTAATTCTAATACAGGACATTGACCTAAAATCATTTTTGGTTTATATTCAGACCATTGATTGATATCAAAACGAATATCTTCATATGTTCGATCAGCAGCTGCTAATATAAGTCGAATAAGCTCACCTCGAGCTTGTAAATTAAAATAATATAATTTAAGATCACAGCTGCCCATTCTTGTTTATATAATAGTACAAATAAATGAAATGAATCAAAAAGAAAGTATAAACTTACAATGCTTTTTATACCTTTCGTAATCTTTGCTATGTCAAATGAATTAATAGCATAAATGATGAATAGATGTATGCTTATTTCTGTCAGTTTAAGCTTACATAATGTTGACGATAAAAAAAATAAATGGTATATCATCATTAACTTGACATTTTTACCTGATTATAGTTAAGGTTATATATTTTCATATTTTACATAGAGCGTTAAAATGAATAGTTTATTAAAATGGATCATTAGGAGCTAAATGCAAAGTTTGCTTGTCGAATGACGATCTACCTAAAAAGTTATTTGATAGATGAAAATATCGATTTTTTCGAGCTTTTTTAAAGTTATCGATATTGTCATTATCATTATCGATGTAGAGAACATTATATAAACATTAACTATGTGAATTTGATTTTATTCATTTGATATCATTAAAACTATATAAAAAAAAAACAATAATAAATGTTTCTAACGATACAAAATTTTACAATTAGATAATGCCTTTTTTCAACCCTTTGACTCCCAGTGACGCATAAAAACGTCTCAATGCAGTTATTGAATGAAAGTGTCGCTAGCATATTTTTTTAATTATTTGGAAAAGCTTTTTATCGTTTTCACAATAGTTGCTTTAAGAAGAAGATGCTTGACTAAGCGACGAAAACAGTCTCAACGACAATGCATGGTTTGCAGGTTACATCCTAAGTAAAAAAATTCCGGTGAGCAGGACTCTGATCCTGATTTCATTGGAATCCGATGAAAACCGATAGAATCTTGTCAGAATTTGCTGGTATCCAGTCGTATCAGACCATCAGAATCCTGATCGTTGAATTCCCAGTTAATTCCAATACAATTCTGTTGATATTAAGACGATCGGACAGAATCCGACGGATTAGCTTCGACCTGGGATAATGTTAGATGCGATACACAATATGTGTCCAAACTACAACATACTTCTATGAATTGTTGATTGCTTTATAAAGATTATCATACAACGATGATCTACTGATGTTTTCTTAACATAGAATTGTAAAAATAAAAATCATATTTAAACATTTCTTTTAAAAATTTTCATTTTCACAAAAAGAAGTCGGAAGTCAAAGGATTAAATATATATTCATTTGAGAAGAAAAAGTAAATTGTATTTGATCAAATATACATGTTTATTTCAGAGAATATTTTTACAATGTTATCATGAAAAAACCTTCAAATAGTCAGTTTTGTTTTATTATCTTGATGATACTTTTGTGTGTATGTGTATGTGTATGTTTAATGTTTATTTTTATTTGTACTCATAGTGAAATCTGGACTAGCATATATTATTTCCAGTACATTGATTATATTTGATATTAAATAGATCAGTTTTATCATCAATAGATTTAAATATCGATGAATGTCTAAAGGAAGGAATCATATTGTTAACAATTGGTACAAGATGCTTGATGACTTTTGCTCTTGGGTTTTTGATAATCAATCACCGAAAAAAATTATTTCATATTCTCTTGAAATAGCTTTGATTATAATGCGATAAGACGTTGCGTAAACTTATGTAAAGTTTTTTCAAGTGTTCTGTTAAAAAGAAAATCACAGCATTCTCGCTAAACCTTATAAACTAACTTCAAGTTCGCTCTTGTTCCGACAAGAATATAAGCAAGAGAATGATCGAAGTAGAAAGCTTGGAGGATGTAATAAAGCTCTGTAAGGAAGAGTTTCTTAAAAAAGGATCACAATGCTTTGCTTAGACTTTTTATTAAATATTCATACCTATACTTATGTTTAAATATGATCGAATAAAAAACAAATCATTTTTTATGATACATGAAATGCGAACATAATCTTAAAAATACAAGAGTACTTCTTATTTCTTGTAACAAGGTCAATATTATGTTGAATTTTTGTTCTATTATCGTATATGGATCAATAATTTAAAAATAAAAATAAATTATGTGAATCATTAATAGATAAATGCTAGAAAAAAAAGGTGTCTAATTTGAATAAAAAGAGTAAATCTTTCTGAATCCTAAGAAATTTAATACTCTTCTTTATTGGCAGATTATTTCTTAACCTTTCTTATTCATTCAGATTGACCACTGTTCTTTTACTAGTCAATCTAACCAATAGACATTCAATTTGAAACAAGATTACATCACATATAAATATAGATGCCTTACAGACCTTTTTTTTCTATACAAAGAAAAATCAATATTCACAGCAACAAAAGGTATCGACAACATTATGGTGGTTTATATTAACCCTGTATGACATTGAATATAAAAAATGAGTTAGTCTCATTCTCTCTCTCTCTCTCTCTCTGATTATATAAACAGTAGATATTCATTTTATATTCTCTGATTAGTTCTATTTTTAAAATGATTAAATATAATTATTTAGTCATTGTATTAATATTTCATAACATAATGGTATGATTATTTTATCTTATGAACATTATTGTTTCTGTCATACAAGAAGAAAAGGTTAACTTAGTAAAGTATACTATCGAGCAGATCATATATACGTCACAATGAACAGACATCATGATGTCGATCAAGAACAGATGTATTCATTGATGTACAAAACTAAGTACTATGTTCATGACAAAAAGAACAAAAGAAACAAATTTTGAATATTTTAGATATGAAAACAATTTCTACTGAATTTTATTTAGTTACTCTTCTACTTTTATTAATATTTATTATAAATATATTACATATACTTTATTTAATCATTTATAAACATAATAAACAAATCAAATCCGTTCGTTTAATATTAATTAATTCATCTTTATCATCATTAATTGTTTCTATATGGCTTATACCATTCTTTTATTTTCGAACAATATGGTCATCAGAATCTATATCATGGCGTTTATGGTCATTTGTTTTTCATATTGTTGATGCTGTACAACTATATTCTCTCGTTCTATTAATAACCATTCGTTCTTTTCAACGAATATTTATTTGTTTTATATGGTTAGCACCTATAATTGCATATTCATCATTATTATGGTTAAATGTACCATATGATGATATCGATCATTTACCTTATCGAAGATTAACTATCAATGTTCCATGGTGGATATTACCAATACTTTATTCGAGTATGTATATTATTCCAATAATTATTTCATTTGTATTAAGTAGTATTCATGTTTGTTGGCCTTTAATTTATTATTATTATTATAAAAAACAAAAAAACAACATTGTTCAGAATCAAGATACTAATGAACATCATAATGATATGATAGAATTAAAAAACCTTATTGACACCGTATTTAATTTTCAATTAGAACAATCAAACAATAAATCCTCACATAAATTTCATGTAAATATAAAATTATGAAAAAAAAAGAAATTAATTATTTTTCTTTATTTTTTTTAGACATGGACATCTTCATTTTCAAAACTATTATCGAATAAATTTCATCGATCATTATCGTATAATGTTGATCAACATGAATCGTTTCTTCTATTTGATGAACTTTCAACATCTCCATTAATTCGTTCATCATCAATACAAACAAAAGATTGTATTGAACAACCACTTAATGCTGGTCTTTTATTTATCGTCACATGTCTTTTATTACTTGTACATTTACCTTATATACTTTCATCTTTGTTTGATGTGTCATCACTACAATTATCAACATTTATTTATATACATTGGTGTGGAACATTATTTCTACCATTCATGCATATTAAATAAAATATCTTCTCTAGTAAAAAAAAATAGAATTTTTAAATTCGAAATAAATTAGTTGTAGTCTTTTCATGTTTTTTCAAATTAAAATTAATAAAAAGAGAATGTATATGAAATAAAAATAAACATGAGGTTGATTTTCTATTATTACTTGAAGATGATTTTAAATTTAAAATAAACAATAATAAAAGCCATTTATTCTGTTTCTTTTTTTGGTATTCTTGTTACAGAATATTTGCTGCTCTTGACAAATTAGTTTTAAATTTTTACATGTTTGAACTATTCATGTTGAAAAATGATTCAAAAGTGAATTTAAAATTGATTAAAATTGGTTCACTAGACGCAATTGATTCTTGGCATTTGTTCGAACATTGGTATCCTTTATCACTGTCGAAATTTGAGTTATTTA